GTGCTGCCATAAACCTCTATCTTTTAATAGCTATATTAGTAATTCAATAAATTTAAAATAAAATTTATAAAAATCTCAAGTGGGCAAACCGCCCACTCGAGATGAAAAAAAACCCTAGGAATAATTTATTTGGCAATACAACGTTTGCCGGGTCAGCTAGTATTATAATAAGTTTTACGTATGTTCTTACTATAATCGGTGTCCGATGAACAAATTTTAATATACAGGATAGTTTTTAAGTGTGAGAGAGTCCATTATTTCCGAAATGTGCATTATTTCCGAATCCTAACTTTCGAAAAATAGTTTCATACTAAAGTTGCTGACGCACAAAGTGCGCACATTTTAAAAATATTTTATATGATACAGAGGGTCTCAGAAAAGCGAGGCAAGATCAAAATGTATTTTGTTAAATAGAACTACCCATTTTTCATTAACTCATGGAATGTAGTTTGAAACGCTGCATATGCAACGTAAAATGTTTTTTCTTACTTGCAACGTTGGCAGATAATCGCTATTTTAGGAAAATTTAGCATAAAGACATGGTCTCTAAAAATTTATTGTAGACCCAAAAAAAGCAGTTAGAGGTACAAAAAATATGTCTTTACAATTACCACAGGTTTGTTAAAAATTCTATAGAATCGAAATATCAATATTATGTATAATATTGTACAGGATGTTAACAATGTAGACTTGATTTTAAAACTTTTTAACGCAATATAACTGTTGCTTTTCAAATGGAAGTAGCTGTATATTAATACGTCATTAGATAGACAATTTACAAAGTTACGAATTTACATTTACACTTTAAGCTGTGAAATCAACCGTTTTCAAATTAAAATTCATTTTATTTAAAAATTTCAAAAAGTTGTTACATTTTGTAAGGCGGCTGTGGAATTCAATAAATAAGTGTCAACACTTTATACCTAAAAAATGCAGTAAAACTGCCATTCTGTAGACATTCTGTATTCATATAAAATATTTTTTAAGCCGAGCCATAGTGAGCCATATTACCCCTTAAAAGCAATGACGCTAATTTTGAATCACCCTGTATATTGGAAAAATTCGAACTAAATGAAAAATCGCCCAAAAAATTTTATATACCTGAAAAACGCAATAAAACTGCCATTCTGTAGACATTCTGTATTCATATAAAATATTTTTTAAATGTTCGCACTTTGTGCGTCAACAACTTTTACATGAATCTAGTTTTCAAATGTTTATCACCAAAGGAAATAATGGACTCTCGCGCACTAAAAAAACCATACTGTATAAATCGAGAGTTTTAGCCTTAAATAATTCACCAATTTCAAAAATTGATGGTGGCAAATTCAGGTAGTTCGCAACTTAAACAAATCTCTGTGGATCCGAACAATCTGTTTTCCAGAAAAAGTTTTCGCTATTTTCCAACTCAATTTCGGTTTGGAGTATTTTAACACATTTTTAAGCATACAAATTCAATAAAACTTAAAAAAAGTGGAAAACTGTCACTTGATCACTGCAGTTTTTTTTCTACTTCTGACCAAAGTTTAAAATATTAAAATTGAGTTAAGTTACTATTATTAATATTTTCTTTTTAAAAGTTGCTAAGAACAGTCAGTTAATTTCATGTCGCAGGATGCGATACATCTCTACCGAAACCTGAACGAAAAGGCTCAATATGGAATAAGAAAAATCGACTTGCCGTTCTTCAATCACATTGATTTTGTCATGGGAAGACACGCAAGGCAGATCGTCTATGATCCGTTGATGGAGGTACTAAACCAAGCTATTATGCCCTGAAGCTTCTGGAGCGCCGGGCGGATTTCCTAGTAGTTATTTAAGAAAAAATCCTGTATATTGAATCGCCCACTGGCTTATAGAGGTAGAAATTTGTCAGTGTTTATAGCAATATTTACGGTTTTAGTTACCAAAACTATGATAGGTTTGAGAATATGCTTATGGAAAATATATTAATTTAAATCAAAGTGTATCCTTCCTGACAGCAGCTTGAGGTCATGTGCAAGAACACTGTACTTAAACCGTTATTAGCCACCTTGTGCCGTTTTAATTTTTTTCAGTTCGGTTTATCTGATGAAATCGAAACATTTAGTCAAGCTAGAGAAATTAAGTCCGACAGCCTATTAATGACCGACTTACTAAAATAAAAATGGCCATATTTGCTTGTGTGAAATTCACATTAGTATGGCTGATGCAAATTGGACGGCATAATAAGTATGCACTGAATTTCTTTGTGTTACCGGGTCCAACAAGAAGAATCAGCAGATAATTCGATCACCTTAGATGGAGCTTGGGAGAATGTATCAAAAATTGCAGACACTGTTACTCTCGCAGTTAAAAAATCCCTAATCCGCAAAACTTAAACTATTTGAAACAGCTGAAATAAAGAGATTCAAACTTGTTAGCTGAACCTTGTAGTTCTTCGGCCAGTGACCGTCGAAGAAGAAACGGGGTCATCGGTGCTGCTCCATTCAAGTGCTTCGGTCAGTTCGAGTCAAGTTCACGGTAAAAGTGGTACATCAATGCGTGCGTTGCATCTAACCAGAAAATTAAAGTGTTTACGCGACAAAGATGGATAAGTTTCTGTACTGGGTTGCCCTTTGCGTTCTTCCGACGGTATTTTGCGGAAAGTACGTACCCAAATGGAAGAAGCAGGTAAAGCAGACAGACAGTCCAGAGTTCCCTCGGATGTACCAAATTAATTTCAGGCCTGTGAATTGCCTTCATCCCATAGCGAGTACTCCCATTATATTTGCTCAGACGATGGTGAGGTGAAATGCTTGCCAGGGTGGAACGGTGACCTTTGCGATGTTCCAAAATGCCGCTCTGGATGCGATCCAATGCAAGGGTAGGCTTATGGACTAACCGGTTAAAATCCCTTTTGTACCGTGTTTTTTTTTTAATTAGGTACTGTAATCGACCAGGAGAGTGTCTATGTAAGTTGGGTTACTACGGGAACAAGTGCAACAAGTGCATTCCCTTGCCTGGATGCCAGCATGGATATTGCAATTCCAGTTTTGAGTGTATCTGCCACGAAGGCTGGGATGGACTCTTTTGCTCTGAACGTAAGGAAAATGATCTTAATATTATTGGTAAAATCTTCATATCTCAATATATCTGTACAAGGTAAATCAAAATTGGCGTCATTCATATGGAAGTGTTGTTTGGCGGTGTTTTAGTACAAAAAAATATTCAAAAATTAATTGTTATGAAAAACTGAGAAATTTGCAAAAAACTATATTAGAAAAACGACAGCAATTTTTTTCAAAGTTGCTGCTTGCTTTTGCAAAGTAAATACCTGTTGCTTAGTAATTATTTAAAAATCCGGTTACCATGGATAAATAGAGAAAGTGATAATAAGATCGACAAGGATAAACAGTAAATTCAACAGCAATCATTGAATGACGGAACCTATTTCAAAATGTCAACCTGTTCTCATAACCTCGAATTTTGCGGGCTTTGGTGTTTACATAAATAATCCATACAATACCAAACATTGGAATCGTTAACTCCAAACAAGCTAGTGCCTGTGTAATTTCCTTATTATCCACCTTATCAAGCTTCTCGTATTCAGTTAATTAACGCCTGCTCTATTTGTATCTCCTTGTACTGTGTGTATCGTACAAACGTGGTAGGAATGCAGCCGGTATTTATTTGGTGCCTGGGAAAGTGTCAGTTATTGTGCTCTGAGTGCCCCTGGAAGGCCCTGATTCGCCCTGATTCGATTATCTCCAATACTTGTTCCTCTGTGCCTAGAACCCGAACATCGATTGTCGTCTACTGTCTTCCTGGAACCACTCTCCTCTCCCTTTGTTGGCGTGAGTTCCTTCAGCTTCTGCTASGTTACTGTAGAATTTCTCTTTAACTAATCCCATATTCGCAAATTCCCCTGGTACTACCTATATCTAGGAGGCATTCCCCTATCCACCACCTGTAGRGTTGCCCAATAGAKGATCTAATAACCCCACACGGGACAAAACATATAGTAACTTTCATATCGCACATAGTCACTTTCCTTATATCATTTTTCCTATGGTGACCGCTCGTTCGTCATCTCTGCCTTATATCATGTGATTACATTTGTGGAAGTTGATGTTGTTCTAGGCATATGCGTGTTGTGGCTCTGTAGGGGTCTTCGATCAGTGTGCGTGGTTCTTTTCTGTTTCTGGCTATTAGTACTATGTCATCCTCGAACATTTGTTTTTTCATCACGCGGCTGAATTTTTCTACATTGTTAATGCCCCTGTCTTGGAGGTCAATTGTTTTTAGCGCGTTTTTTAGTTCCTACTAGGGTGAAGAGGTTGGGTGACATAGGGTCACCTTGTTTACTCCTCTATGAATTTCCGTATATTGCGAATACATTTAGGGATACGTTATTTTTTAAGTTTACATATTTGTGGTCGATTCTAGCGTTTTTTAGAGCTTTTAAGGCCTTCCTGAAGTATTTAAACTTTAGCAATAAGGGGATGTTGCATTCCACAACTTTCTCCTTAAACAGTATCATCTTTTGTAGGTGTCCCATAGTGCTGTACCCCGTCCTAAGCCCTTAGTGACCCTAAAAGCTTAGTGACCCGGTTGATTATTAGTTTTGAAAATAATTTACATATCTAATATAGAAGGCTGATCGGTATGTACGTTTGCAAGTTTTCGGTGTCGTCCGTTTTGTGAGTGATTATTGAGAGGGTATTTGTCCAGTCCTATGGTATATCCTCGTTGTCCAGGCATTTGTTTGTGTCATATTTTTAATGACGTTTTAGAAAGTCTCTCCTTGTTTTATCACCTCCACTAATGTTTTATCTTCGTCCGGTGCTGACTCGATTCTGATATATTATGGTGCATTTTTTATTTCGTCCGTTCTTCTTCGGGTGTGTCACTCGCTGCCTCTGTCTCGTATATGTCTGCTGTCTATAATTATTGTACTGTTCTTACAATCTTTGATACGTTTGCCTTCTTTGCCTTTGATTTTTTCTTGGTGTTTGGCGCTTTTATCATTTTTGTTCCTATATGTAGTTGTGGGACAAAATTTCAGTTTTGCAGTCCTTTTTTAGGAGAAATATTTAATTTTCGGTTTTTTCTTTCATTAGTTTCCCATGTTGCTTCTTGGTTCAACGTTCAGAATGGGAAGTATGAAGGCATCTTTAAGCTTCTATCTATGTTTTTGAGTAATCAGCTGCATGTTTCACTTCTCTAAATGTATCACTTTTCCTTAGCAATTTGTCGCCAAGACTGCCACCAAGCCAGAGGGTACTGCAACGAACCTGGAGACTGCAAATGCAGGCTAGGATGGTCGGGAAGAACCTGCAAAGACTGTCAAGTCCTGCCTGGGTGCGTTCATGGATACTGCGAAAAACCTTTAGAATGCAAATGCTATCCAGGCTATTCTGGAATACTTTGCCAAACCCGTGAGTACCATCCAAGGCATTGCGCTGGTACAGCTTCAGGTTCCATAATGGAAATGTTACTTTGCTTATAGCCATCTGTTCAAAGACCTGCCACAAAGAGAGAGGATACTGCAGGAAACCGGGAGAGTGCAGGTGAGACAGTGTAGCAAAAATCATACAAACGATCCAATGAAGGAGAATTTTGTAGGTGTAAGGTGGGGTGGTGGGGCAAGAACTGCGAAAAATGCTTTCCATACCCGGGATGCGTGAATGGAACCTGCAACAGGCCCTGGGAGTGCAACTGCCAGAAAGGCTGGGGAGGAATGCTTTGCAACGAAGGTGAGGTGAACAAGGTTTGAACTCTAAGGAAGAATTAGTAAGCGGACATAACATATTCAACATAATCCCGTATTAATAACGACAATAATGGCCGCAGTACCGACGCTTTAAAGGAGAAATTAATCTTAATTCGGCATTCTTGTGTGATGTCTTCGKCGCTCAGACTGTAGTAGGTAGTTGGCGAGTTTTTTTAYTCTCTTATTCTCAATTTGTCAATGATCGGTTTTCTTTATTCTGTCATTTTTTATAAATATGTGCAGGTCTTTAAGAAATGTCGAATGAAGGCTAGCTCAAGCTTCCGATGCTAAAATTTGAGAAATTCAAAGCACTACTTCAGTGGATGATTTCGGTGGTACCCAATAAAAGGTCGTTTCATGAAGGAACATTTAAAATCTGCTTTCATTCGGCTTGATTTTGAGGAAAGGTCGCCGATGACCAAGAAATGTGCGATAAGTGAAAATGCAAATGCCAAAAATCATGTCAAACAAATGGATATCAAATTCTAAATAAGGATAATAGGGTATTTTAGGCACCCCCTAATCGTGCTAAATGAGAGCTAAATGGTTCATTAAGGATATGACCGTGTATTTTTTTTGGTGAGAGATTACGAGCAAGTCCAACATAAAAATAGCAATTTGTTTCTCTCATAAGTATATATAAACTGAATGCGGAGCTCCAAAATGCATTAACTGTTCTAAAGTGAAAAACACTCCAACCGCCCTTTCGTCACGGGACACCTTTCAGAGATCAACTGTAAAAATTCCAATCTTTCTCTCTCAAGTGAACAGCCACAGCCATTAGGAAGGCCCCAATTTTATGCAGTAGCCTGCTTTTGCAGGCTCTTTCAACAACATGGTGCTACGGCAGTATGACTATAAGATACCTCATCCAGTATGCGCCGGAAAGAAATTACGAGCAAGTTCAAAAAAATTCTAGTTTTCTACTGCTAGGGATTGTCCAAGCCCTATACGTGGATAACACTGTGTTATACTGCACTTTTTCGTTGATACCGCTCTGGGTATCAGAGTGTGGATAAGCTTTGGGTGTCACGGCGCAACACCATGGGAGACACTAAGCATTTAACGCGCCTGCCGCTACATGTCAAACAGAACAACGTAACGCGACACCGTCCTGCAACATTCGGTGCAGCGTAACGAGGATACTATGTTATTGAACAGACAGCGTCGTGATAATGATATCCAGCATCACGAAACATTATTTTGTCTCATCAGTCCATGCAAGCCTTAAACAGATAGGGATGGGTAACCCTGTATTTTGTGGCACTTTTGTGTTGATACCGATCTGTGCGTCAATGCGTTATAACACCTCGGGCCTTACGGCGCAACGCAACACTTAACATTTGACTTTATTTTAATTAGCGATCTTCTAAAAAAAATGTTCCCATAACCATTCTAAATTCTAGAGATTTAAATGAAATCTCAGTCAAAATAAAGCCTCAAACTGCAGCATTGGGAACATCAATTTATGTATTAGTTCACCCCAGGGACCACAAGGCGGCAATGCAAAAGCTACTGGAAAATAAAGACAATACTTTACTCACACTCTCATATTTAGAGAGAAACTCGTATAGAAAGTTTTTCAGAAAAAAAATTTTGATGAGGTGTGATTCAAAAAAACATTATAACATTACGTAAATACATGTTGCATCGTAATTATTAAAAACTCCGGTACCCATGGAATTATACAGAAAGTCACAATAAAGGTGTTCAGTAAGCCATTTGTTTAATATATCCTTGCGTTGTGTGGATCGTGATAGGAACGTAGCCCTTCCTCGGTATATATGTGGTGCCTGGGAAAGTGTCAGTTGATGTGCATTGCTCTAAATGGCCCTATAAGGCTCTGCTGCAATTTTGTTCAATACTTGTTCCTCTGTGTCTGGAACCCGAACATCTAACGTTGGCCACTATCTTCCTGGAGCCAATCTCCAGTACCTCTAGCCTTTTGTTGGCGGGAGTTCTTACAGCTTCTTCATATCTCTGTAGAATTTCCCCAGAACTATTCGCATATCCAGAAACTCGTGAAAGGAGCTTTAAAGTACGTCACAGTTTGACAAATTATTGACATTATTGACAAGGCCTATCCACCTGTAACTATCTGTTGATGGCAAAAAACATCATTGCCGTTTTGACTTTGAAAATATTTGCAGAAGAGAACTTTTTTAATATAAACAATTTTCGTAATTTGAAGCAAACATCATAATTTTTCTTTTTCAATGCTTAGGTATTCCGATATGCGACCAATTAAATATGGGACAATTTCAAAATAATGCTTAATAGAAAAGATAAAATTGGATTTTCAACTGTTAATATCGTCTATAAATTATAGAAAAAAAATGTCCATATTTTTGTTCAACTCTCCAAATGAGCCATATTACCCCTTAAAAAGAATGACGCTAATTTTGAATCACCCTGTATATTGGAAAAATTCCAACTAAATGAAAAATCGCCCAAAAAATTTTCGTCTGATTAAAGTTTTGTAAAATGTTGAGCACATTTTTGAATAACAGCGTTGCGTTGCGTTATTTTATGTTGTTGGTTTCATGTTTCCTGTGCACCACATGTTCGAAGAAAATATTTTTTTCAAAAGGAAGCAGGTAAAAGCCTAAGGGTTTTCTAATAGATAGAGGAACCAATTCCAGCATAGAAACTGTAAGTGATAACAGGAACTTCCTACGCCCAAAAAGCTGCAAACTCCGCCACTCCTAAACCAGCCATACAGACAGTCCACAAGAACCACACCAACAAGCTCCACGACCGAAAATAGACTCTCTAGTCCCACCCAATTCCTACTCTTAACAGAGTTTGAATTACCAACCCAAATTGATGAAATGATGCGGCTACGATAGTCTAAAATTCCATTCTAAGGGCCGTTTGCACCGTTTTATATTAAAACCAAGCTTACATAAATCAACCAAAATCAATCTTAATCAAAAATTAAGCTCGGCTTTAACGTAAACGGCTTGCACCGTACCAATCTGTTGTTGGCTTTGTTAAGCCGATGTCCAGCAGATCTGTTTGCCATATGTGGAATTAAGACCGTTTGCTGTCATGATACAATGAATACATGTATTCATTCTATCTATCTTTACATTAGATTTTGTCGATTGAGAAGATAAATCGAGCGATTAACCTCAGTTTAGAACACGTTTAAGACAAGATTCCTAACTTGTACAATCTAGGAACCTTGCGTTTAGAGTATTTTCCAACCCAACGTTTATATTTTAAATACATCTTTTTTTAACCATTTTTATTAAAAATTTTTATATAGGTATATATATTTTATTTTGTACTGACAGACTAAAATTTTAAGGGAAATTTGAGAAATAATTTATGAATTGTTGTTTTGTAGTTTTGCGGAGATTTTGAAGATTACTTATGGTTTCATTCAGCAACTGACCAATGCCAATTAAATAATCCAAGTCATTTATATTTGTGGTGGTTTTGTAGAACCTAAATATTTAAAAAAAGTTAGTTCGCCAAGTCCTCCAATGGATTATTTCCGTTATACAGGGTAATTGAAAATTGGCGTTATTCCTTTTGAGGGTTGATAGAGGCTCCCTTGGGGAGTACAAGAAAAATATAGAAAAATTTTTTTTCAAAAATTTCTAGAAGATATTAACAGTTGAAGATCAAATTTCAACTTTGTTATTAAGCATTATTTTGAAATTGTTCCATGTTTAATTGGTAGCATATTGGAATACTTAAACATTCAAAAAGAAAAATTACGACCTTTGCTTCAAATTACAAAAATTTTCAATATCAAAAAAATTATCTTCTGCAATTTTTTTATGAAAAGGCACAGCGCAATTATGTTTTTTGTCATTAACAGATAGTTACAGGTGGATAGCCCTTGTGAATCATAACAACAATTTGTCAAACTGTGACGTACTTTGAATTTATTTTCACAAATTTGCGGATATGCGATTAGAGATACAAATGGAGCAGGGGTTAATTAACTTAATACGAGAAGCTGCTTGATAAGAGTGGATAATAAGGAGATTACACAGGTACAAACTTGTTTGGAGTTAACGATTCAAATGTTGGTGTTGTATGGTTGATTTTTAAACACCGACAT